CTGGAGAAAGGGAGGAAGGAGCAGTGGTTAGAGATCAGGCAATCCATGGGAAACGCTCTTATAGAAGGCAAGCTTGGGAGAATGTAAACAGCTGGCGTAAACAGTGGGAATTTCACCAGTATTTTTGGCAGCGTCAACCTCCAGCTGCAGAGCTGGTGAAGGGCAAAGCCAGATGGGGATCGTCAAGGAGCTCAGGGCTTTATTGGTGCTGTCATTTCCAGGGATTAGACCTCTATCTCCCATCTCAGCCACTTTTTAAAAACTAAAAAAGAGAGAGAGAGAGTTCCTGGCAGATTCATTCTAGCTTTGTCCATCTCTCTTTCTAGCAAAAGTATTTCTCAACCTGAGGCCCTTTAAGATCTCAGGACTTCAACTCCCAGAATTCCTCAGCTGGCTTAGAAACGCTGCCTTATCCATTTCCTAATTAGCCTTTTAGAGGTCTGCAAACAATCTGTGGATGGAATCTATCAAATTGAATTCCTGGGAGATGCCTCAATGATTCCACTTGGGGACTGAAGGGGGGAAGAAGGAAAGAGGAAGAGAAGAGAAGAGAAGAGAAGAGAAGAGAAGAGAAGAGAAGAGAAGAGAAGGAGGAAGGAGTTAGGAAAGAAGGGACGGAAGGACGGAGGGAGGGAGGAAGAGAGGGAAGATAGGAAGGAAGGAGGAAGAAGGGAGGGAGGGAGGGAAAAGAGAAGGAGGTAGGAAAGAAGGGAGGGAAGGAAGAGAGGGAGAGAGGGGAGGAGAAAGAAGTAGGAAAGAAGGGAAGGAGGGAGGGGAGGAAGGAGATAGGAAAGAAGGGAGGGAGGCAAGAAGGAAGAGAGGGAAGATAGGAAGGAAGGAGGAAGAAGGAAGAAGGGAGGGAGGGAGGGAGGAAAGAAGGAGGTAGGAAAGAAAGGAGGGAAGGATGGAGGGAAGGAAGAGAGGGAGGGAGGGGAGGAGGAAGAGGTAGGAAAGAAGTGAAGAAGGGAGGGAAGGAGAGGAGGAATGAGAGGAAAGAAGGGAGGGAGGCAGGAAGGAAGAGAGGGAAGAGAGGGAAGATAGGAAGGAAGGAGGAAGAAGGGAGGGAGGGAGAGAAAAGAGAAAGGTAGGAAAGGAGGGAAGAACAGAGGGACAGAAGAAAGAGAGGGAGAGAGGGAGGGGAGGAGGAAGAGGTAGGAAAGAAAGGAAGGAAGGAAGGAGGCAGGGAAGGAGAGGAGGAAGGAAGGAAGGAAGGAAGGGGATGGTGTAAGGGAGGGAGGAAGAGGAGGCAGGGAAGAAGGAAAGAGGAAGAAGGAACAAGAAAGAAGAAAGAGAAGGAAGGGAGAAAGAGCAGTGCTGACTATGTTACAGGAACCCAGTTGTCTTATCCTGCAGATTTTATGATGCAACTGAGCAGAGATTCCTCCGGCTGCGTCTGCTGGACCCCTCCCCAAAAGACCCCTCCCCTCCAGGGAGCCAAAGGGCAAAAGGCAAGGAAGCTTCCAGGCCTGTGCAAGAGGATAACTCTTCAATCATTTTGCGGGAAGATGTGCAGGAGATGAGGGCTTTTCCCCCTGGTTGCTTTGCTCCTGCTGCAAAACCCCAGACTGGGAGCAAATATAGGTATAGCATAGGGGGTACCTGGCTCAATAGTAGCAACTGTGAGAGGGACCTTGGAGTCCTAATGGACAATCACTTCAATAGGAGCCAGCCGTGTGCTGCAGCTGCCAAAAAGGCCAACTCAGTGCTGGGCTGCATTAACAGAGGGATAGAATCAGGATCATGTGAAGTGTTAATATCACTTTGCAAGGCCTTGGTAAGGCCACACTTGGAATCCGGCATCCAGTTTTGGTCACCACGATGTAAAAAAGATGTTGAGACTCTGGAAAGAGTACAGAGGAGAGCAACAAAGGTGATTAGGGGACTGGAGGCTGAAACATATAAGGAACGGCTGCTGGAACTGGGTATGTCTAGTTTAATGAAGAGAAGGACGAGGGGGGACAGGATAGCAGCCTTCCAGTATCTCAGGGGCTGCCCCAAAGAAGAGGGAGTCAAGCTATTCTCCAAAGCACCTGAAGGCAGGACAAGAAGCAACAGATGGAAACAGGAGAGAAGCAACCTGGAACTAAGGAGAAACTTCCTGACATTTAGAACAATTAACCAGTGGAACAGCCTGCCTCCCGAAGCGGTGAATGCTCCAACACTGGAAGTTTTTAAGAAGAGACTGGACAGCCATTTGTCTGAAATGATATAGGGTTATCTGCCTGAGCAGGGGGTTCGACTTGATGACCTCCAAGGTCTCTTCCAACTTTATTATTATTATTATAAGGGTAGAAATTCTAGATTTCGGGAATTGATTTAGTCGTATTTGGTGGGACCTTGGTTTCGTTAAGGCAGCGGTTCTCAACCTGTGGGTCGGGACCCCATTTGGGGTCGAACGACCATTTCACGGGGGTCGCCAAACAACGCAGTCCGCCATTTTTTCCCCCTTTTCCTTAGCTGTGCTACTCCCTTTTATTCTATTGGCTTTCAAAAGCCAATAGGAATTGTCCAGGCTGTCTCTGCCCTGCTGAGCCCGCCAAAAGTCCCATTCTGCAAACGGTGCTGCACCAGTTGAGTAGTCCTCGACTTACGACCGGTTGAGTAGTATTTGTCTTACGACCGGTTGGGGGTTGCGGCATTAAAAAGGTTGAGAACCACTGCATTAAGGGAATGAAAAGTTATGGTAGGGATGGATAAATAAATAAAGCTGCACACAGGTAGTTCTCGGCTTACAAATGCTTGTTTAGTGGCCATTGGAAGTTACAACAGCACCGGAAAAAAAGTGAACTGACTGTTTTTCACTCTTACGACCGTTGTAGCATCCCCAGGATCACAGGATTAAAATGTGGACATTTTGCCACCGATATGTATTTATGAGGGTCACAGTGGCCCAACTAGGTAACATCATCACTGCTAGAAGGGAGGGGGCTTTGGGGAAAAGAGGAGGAGGAGGAGGAGGAGGAGGAGGAGGAGGAGGAGGAGGAGGAGGAGGAGGACAACGACGACGACTGTGAGATCCTTGGTGCTCTCTGAGCTGGGTTGTTTTCTTGCAGACATTTCATGACCAAGCTAGGTAGCATCATCAATCTAGAAGGAGAAAGGGAGGAGGAGGAGGAGGAGGAGAAAGTGGACTGTGGGGTCCTTGGTACTCTCTGAGTTGGTTGTTTTCTTGCAGGCGTTTCATGACCCCACTAGGTAACATCATCAGTGCTAGAAGGGGGGGTTGCTCTCAGTTCAGATCCAAGTGACTTGTATATCCCCCATGATTCCCAGAGGCTGGTTGATCCAATTACTTCCTAGGACATTTCTACCTATTTCAAGATTGGAACAAGTTGGCATCTTGCTTGGGCTCAGGTTGATGTCTTAGTTCAGCCCAGGACAGGACATGGCTCTAGTCCTCAGTTATGAGAACCGGCATGAGATTCCCAGCCCAAGTTTGCAGGCAACCTGTCCCTCACACAACTACACAGATACTCAGTTTTTCCTCCAGGTTCCCAGTTCAGGCTGCCTAAAGTGAAAACCGCCTCTACTATTACGATACTTTGATCTACAGATAGTCTTCCATTTTCAGCCATAACTGGGACTAGAATTGTGTTGCTAACCAAGGTGGATGTGGGAGCCAGCCAGACCTGATTTTATGATCATTTTTGCCAGGGTTGTTAAATGAATCATTGGTCATTAAGCAAATCTGACCTCCCCCCATTGACGCGGCTTGTCGGAAGCCATCTGGGAAGGTTGCAAATAGTGACCCCCATGACCCCGGGATGATGCAACCGTTATAAAAATACATGCTGGTTGCCAAACACCCAAATTTTGATCCCGTGACCATAGAGATGTGGTTGTGGTCGTAAATGTGAGGACTGCTTGTAAATTGCTTTGTTTCAGTGCCGTTGCTGCTTTAAATTGGGTCTGAAAAAATGGTTGTAAGCTGAGGCCCACCTGTAAGTGGGGAATTCAGATGAAAGAATTTCTTGACACCGGTTTTCTACAAGTCCTTTCATACGACGCATTTCCAATTACTGGGAAGGCCTTTATGAAATAAAAGTCAATTAATATTCTAAAGAAGACTAAGGGGGGGGGAAATGTAAATAATAGATTACCATTACATAATAGCTGTTAAAAAGGGGGGGGAGGAGGAGGAATAACTTACAGTTATCTCTTATGGGTAGAATTGCAGTTATTAAAATGAATGTTTTACCAAAATTTCTTTTTTTGTTTCAAATGTTACCTATCTTAAAGAATGAACTTAATTTAAATGAATGGCAGAAAGGTATTAATAAATTTATTTGGGCAGGGAACAAAACCAAGGGTAAAACTTAAAATTATGCAAGATTTTCGTGAGAGAGGTGGACTCAAGGTACCAAATTTGAAACGCTGTGGTTTTAACACTGATTAGTGATTGGATGAATTTAACAAATGTAGAAATACTCCATTTGGAGGGTTGGGATTTACTTTTTGGATGGCATGCCTATTTAATTTTTAATAAAAAAGTGGATCGGGTTTTTAAATCTCATATTATAAGGATTTCTTTGCTTAGGGTGTGGAGGAAATATTATAAAAGTGATTTTAAAATACCATTGTAGGCTATACCTTGGCATGCGATAGAAGGGATAAAGAGAGGAGTTAAGATGGATATGGTCTCTTATACACAACTACTTAGATGGGATGGTCAAAACTGGCACTTAAAATCTTTGGAAGATTTAGTACATGAAAATATTATTTATTCATGGTTTCAATATAGACAAATAGTGGACAGATGGAAGACGGATCGTAATATGGGTTGGCTGAGAGAAGATGAAAATCTTTTTAAACAAGTAAGGGATCAAAGACCAACTCATATTAAGAGGGTTTACGGGGTTTTAGTAGAAATGGATTCAGAATCTGAATTAATCAAAGATTGTATGATTAAATGGGCACAAAATATTGGTGTACCAATCCCATTGGATACTTGGGAACTCATTTGGGTGAGGAATGTTAAATTCACACAAGCACAGAACTTA